ATCAAAATTACTAGACTCAATGCAATGTCATGCTCAATCAAAACTTGCAAATGTTGTTTATTTACCAAATACAGTCAAACCTCTCTATAGTCACCTTCTATATAAGCACATATACATTATAAGCACATATTTTTAAAAACCAACTATTATTAAATATAATAAATTTAACATCTATAATTGGCACACTTCTCTATAATCACCCTTTTTGTATCCCGAAAGTGTGACAATAGAGAGGTTTGACTGTAATTGAATAATTGGAGGTCCGTGGCTGACCTTCATTCGTGGTCCTGGTACGTTTTTATCATCCAGCATAACTCGAACAGGCGATCTTGCGAATGGGACCCTGGGTTTAATAAATAATTAATATCTGTATTTACAGTAGTTTAAATTTAGTGATTGTAAAGAAGTTTATTATTAATAAAATTGATAAAACTCTTATGATGATTAGTGATTGTAGATGATTTGTGACCATAATGAGGTTTTTTATAAATTTTATTGCTTATATTTAGGCGTGACTATATAGGGAGTGATTGTAGAGAGATTAGACTGTATTATTTTTTTCTAGATAAATAATTTGATTAATCAACTTTTTCCATGTTATTGGGGTATAAATAACAGAAGTGATTCCTCCAAGCTTTCTAATAAATTTTTTTGCTAATCCATTTCCTTCATTACTAGGAAATACTATAAAAATTATTATCAATCTATTACTATCCATATCTAATGCTCTTAACTTTAATGCTGCTTTCATGGTCTCTTCTTCATTATTTTCATAAAGGCCGATGAATGCTATGTCATAAGCAGATTGATTATACAATTCTTTATATGTTTGGGCAGCTTTAATACCTTCGTTAAAGGTATCGAATGCATCAACTTTGTCAACAATTTTAAAATATGTTAACATTGCGTTTCTCATATTTTTAACTGAGTGAATTATTAGTATTCGTTTTTTTCTTATAAAATTAGGCAATGCATAGTTTATTTGTTTATCAAATTGTGCCTCTAATAATGAGGGGGTTGGAAGTTTTGAAATAGTTGGTGTTATCGACGATGAAATAATTGGTGTTAATGATGATAATAGTTCTATGTTCCACGTAAACCAAAATGTACTTCCTACTCCCAACTGGCTTTCTGCTTTAATTTCTCCTCCATTAATTTCTACTAGCCTTTTACAAATTGAGAGACCAAGTCCTGCACCATCTTGTTTCCTGGTTATTGACATATCACCTCGTGAAAAACTTTTCCAGGCATATTGTATAAATTCAGGATTCATACTATGATTATTAAATGAATAATTAGATAATGAACATGTTAAGGCATTAAATATAAAATCTTAAAGGGCTTACCCAATGCCAGTGTCATGTAATTCAATTAACAGAATTCCATTTTTATTCATTTGACCATAAGTCGAACCCATTCTGTTTTCTTCAAAATCTTTCGACAACATTGAAATTGTCAGGACAATTTCACCTTTTTCAGTAAATTTAATTCTAAAAAATTAATAATTAATTATTAGTTTATAAAAAAAAATAATAATAAAAAAGTAAACATAACGATAATTATGTAAACATCATTACGAATTTGATAATAAATGGAATAAAACTTGTTTCAGCCTATTAATTATAAAAAAGAAAGATAAGTACGTATTTATTTATTTTATCATCTGCAATAGTTTTAATCACCTCTCAGGATCACTCTTAATATATTTCGGCAACTTATCTACATCATAATTTATAATTAATTCAATTTTTCTATTTCCTGCCTTTTCTCCAAACGTCTCAACAGTATCATCAAATAATTCTAATAAATCAAATGTTCTATTTACTAGTGTGATTTTTTGTGCTTCCAATTTTGCTACATCGAGAATATCATTTACTATCGATAATACTGCATCAGAAGCACGTGCCATGATATTAATCATTTCTTTTTGATCAGTAGCTAAGTTGGCACTTTCAAAGGAAGAAAGAATTCCTATTATTGCACCTAATGGTGTTCTTAATTCTATGAAATTAAAATTAATTAGCATGATAAAATTTCAGTGATTTACGCAAAGAAAATAGTATACCATGAGAAGTATTTGCTAAAATTTGACTCTTGGTATTATTTGCAATTTTAGCAGCTTTAATTTGAATCTCCTTTTCAAAATTTTCTTCTACTAAACTTATATGAGCAATAGATAAACTTATTTGATTCGAAACTTGTTGTAAAAATTCTATTTCAGAATTGAACCAAATAGAATTTGGAGATCTATGTATTTTTATCCATCCCCAGCAACCATTATTTAGCCTTATTTCTGCAGATAATATGGATAAATTTTTAGAAACTTTAACATTTATTCCTAAATCATTATTTAAAATTTCTCTTGAATTAGTGAATGTTTGTAATTCACTCTTGTCGTCACTAATTTCCATAAGTTGATTTTCCGAGCTTTCATATAAAGCAATTATATTATTACTCTCAAATTTAGATTGTTCATCTGAAATAATAATGACTCTTTCACATGGTAATCTATGATAGATTTCTTTAGCAACGTATTGTAATGTTTCTTTCATATTTGATCCAGAAAAAATTTTAGTCGAGGTTGAAAATAGTAATTGCTTTGTTTTTTCCTGTTCAGATTGTTGAAATATTATTTTACGACGAAGAATAGATAACTCAAGATTGGTGCGAATACGGGTGATTAGTTCTCGAGCAGAGAATGGTTTTATTAAATAATCATCTGCTCCTTTATCTAGACCTGAATAAAAAGTCGATGCATTAAAAATAAGATAGTGAAAATAGATTAACTTTAATATATTAAATTACCTTTAATTTTAGAATCTTCGCCATTTTCTGCAGACAATAATATTATTGGAATAAATTGAGTCTTTATATTAGATCTTAATACATCTAATAACTCGTATCCATTCATATTTGCATCATAATGTCTATAAATTCAAATCATGTAATTTAATAATTATTATAAATAATATATACAATACATACAATATATACAATATATACAATATATATATATATATATATATATATATATAATTGAATAATGTAATTATTTAATTACTTGCCGCTGAGAATTAAATCAGGTAATTTAACAAGATTTTTTAAAACTCTTATAGCATCTTGACCATCACAAGCATGAAGTATATCAAATTCTTTTAACAAGTCTGTTAAATAATCTCTATAAATATACATAAATAAACCCAATAATAATAAGAAATAATCACAAGTATAACTTAATCTGATAAATAAATTATTACCGTATATCATTATTATTATCAACAAGTAAAACTTGATATTTTTTTCCAGAAACGGGATTATTGTTATTTGCGGGTAAAAGAAATGGCAACTCTTTTATTAAAGTTTTGCCATTATAATCAATCGGAAAATCATCTTTTATATCATTTTTTGCTTCAGATGCATTATCTATTGTCCATTGAGAACATTCCTCTAAATAAAGTTGTCGATTAGTGCAATCACGATTGATTTGATTTTCAATATCAAAGTACATTTGGTTTGTCGGTAAGTGCTCGTATCCTGTTGGAAACCAACATTTAAATGTCGTTCCTTTATTTACTACTGAAGTTACTGTAATATCTCCACCATGACGTGTTACAAGTTCTTTGGCGAGTGCAAGTCCGATTCCGGTACCTTCATGACTACGTGAATTTTGAGATTCTACGCGATAAAAACGCTGGAATAAGTTGGGAAGTGCGGTTTCAGGTATACCAACTCCTGAATTAATCCAATGTTGAGATTAATATATAAAATATCAAATAGTTTTCTAGAATAAGTTTCATAAGGAATATTGTTAACCTGTATCAGACACTTCAAGAACTACCATCGTTTTCTCATCTTTGTAGTCAATATATAATCGTATAGTAATGCGTCCATTCCAGGTATGTTTTAGTGCATTTGAACCTTTAGAAAACAAAACATCTTAATAAAATAAGCTTTTCACGTTTTAACGTATAGGACATAGGATTATTCAAAAATTCTTACAAAGGTT